ACTGCACTAAGTACTCGACTCAAACATTTGACCATAAAATTTGACACATTTTCTCTCTGTACTGCTCTAAAAACTTGACTCAAACATCGGACCATAAAATTGGACCAATTTATCTCTATACTGCACAAGTACTCGACTCAAACATTTGACCATAAAATTGGACCAATTTAATCTCTATACTGCACCAAATACTCGACTCAAACATCGGGCCGTAAAATTGGACCAATTTTCTCTGTACTGCCCTAAGTCGTACGCTACTCAAGCTTTGGACCATAAAATTGGACCAATTTTCTCTATTCTGCACCAAATACTCTACTCAAACATTGGACCATAAAATTGGACCAATTTTCTCTATACTGCACCAAGTACTCTACTCAAACATTGGACCATAAAATTGGACCAATTTTCTCTATACTGCACCAAATACTCTACTCACAACATTGGACCATAAAATTGGACCAATTTTCTCTATACTGCACCAAGTACTCGACTCAAACATTGGACCATAAAATTGGACCAATTTATCTCTATACTGTACCCAGTACTCGACTCAAACATTGGACCATAAAATTGGACCAATTTATCTCTATACTGTACCCAGTACTCGACTCAAACATCGGGCCGTAAAATAAAACTGCATGACTAGACAACGAAGAACCGACCCAAATGTTTGTATGCTAAACTTTACCGGAAACCGGGGAGCACGACGGTCATATCGTAGCACGTGGTTAGCGATGCGATCATTTGATTGGATCATGAATGTTAACGTTGTGTTTTTTTTTCCTCCGTTCAATTAGAATGACCCCCTCGATCACGATGATGGGGTGGGGGTGGAGGGTGGTGGCCGTGGAAATAAAGAGAAAGGAGTGAGCACGTTTTCACTAGCTGGACGGTAAATCGATGCTGACCATCATCAATGTGGCCAAGCACGCTTGAACGTGCGTGGGGGGGGGGGGGGGGGGGGGGCTGAACCTGAGGTCGGGCGAGGGGAAAGGTATAATGCCATAAAGGGCCGGCTACTCGCGGGCCGAAATCGGCACAACACTAAAGGGAGAGAATTAGCATTTATAGCCCTTCCGTATTCTATGGCTCTGACTACGGTTATTCTGTGAAAGGCTAAGACCAGATAGGCCGAGGTCCTACATGAAAACTGTGAATATCAACAACAGTCGAACACGTGACTTCAAAGTTATTTTTATTTTCTTTTGTATTTCAAAACAACAGCATGACATTGATAATGGCAAGCTTAACGTAATTAAAAACAAAGTAAAAAAAAATAAATGTTTAGCTTTCCTTTGAACTTATGGTAAATGTAGTTATTCAATACGGTAATGGCTCTTTGTTTTTAACACGTTTTTATTAACTCAGCTTCGCGTGTGTTTGTTGTTAAAATTGACATCGAAAATTAGCCCACTTCTGATTGCTCTAGAGACCTGAAATTTGGCATGCATGCTACTTTCGCCTAACAATTTCAGATGCAATCATAAAAACTAGCAATTAGTGACCGTAATTAGCTTAATTTAATTACGCCCCAAGGACCATAAAATTGAGGACATGATTTCTAAAGATACCGACAAGACTGGAGTCCTAATGACACAGTTACTTCGGCCCCAATCGATGTGAGCGCGCTGGCCGTGATCGTATAGTTGTTAGTACTTCGCGTTGTGGCCGCGACAACCCAGGTTCGAATCCTGGTCGCTCAAGATTTTTAGTCCGTGTATTTATAAACACTTTTTTAAAAACCACGTTTTTCATGTGTAGCAACGGACTAAAAAGGAGAAAATAAAATACTTAAAAAAAACTTTTTAAAAAACCACGTTTTTCTTGTGGACTAAAAAGTAGAAAATAACTATTTACATACATTTGATGACAAAAAACGTGGGTCGGGCAGATGGGTCGGGAAATTTGATGGTGAACGTACCCACGTTTTTTGTCATCAAATGTATGTAAATAGTTATTTTCTACTTTTTAGTCCACAAGAAAAACGTGGTTTTTTAAAAAGTTTTTTTTAAGTATTTTATTATAAACCTCTTTTATTGTCAGTGTCCTGGACTAAACGTATGACAGCCCCCCCCCCCCCATCCCCGCACCATACACAAACACACACCTTCCAAACACGATTGACCCGAGGTGAACGCACTTCAAAGGACCTGTCATTTCAGCACAAGTCGGTAAGTCTGGGGGCCAACGTTAACACAAAGTTGGCACGGTGCCAGTCGTGGGGCTGGTAGCAGGAGGGTGTCTGTCAGTGGGCTGAGTTATGTACCAGCCTTATCCTGGTCAGTGGGTGGTCAGTGGGCTGAGTTATGTGCCAGTCTTATCCTGGTCAGTGGGTGGTCAGTGGGTGGTCAGTGGGTGGTCAGTGGGCTGAGTTATGTCTGGTCAGTGGGCTGAGTTATGTGCCAGCCTTATCCTGGTCAGTGGGCTGAGTTATGTGCCAGCCTTATCCTGGTCAGTGGGCTGAGTTATGTATCAGCCTTATCCTGGTCAGTGGGCTGAGTTATGTGCCAGCCTTATCCTGGTCAGTGGGTGGTCAGTGGGCTGAGTTATGTGCCAGCCTTATCCTGGTCAGTGGGCTGAGTTATGTATCAGCCGTATCCTGGTCAGTGGGCTGAGTTATATGCCAGCCTTATCCTGGTCAGTGGGTGGTCAGTGGGCTGAGTTATGTGCCAGCCTTATCCTGGTCAGTGGGTGGTCAGTGGGCTGAGTTATGTCTGGTCAGTGGGCTGAGTTATGTGCCAGCCTTATCCTGGACAGTGGGCTGAGTTATGTCTGGTCAGTGGGCTGAGTTATGTGCCAGCCTTATCCTGGTCAGTGGGTGGTCAGTGGGCTGAGTTATGTACCGGTCTTATCCTGGTCAGTGGGCTGAGTTATACACCTGGGCTATACTGGTCACTACACCAGACTTATCCTGGCCAATAGGATGAGTAATGCATCATAAACTCAATTCTAACCCGCCTCTCCTTACTATACAGAATATCATGGCAGACCCAACAAAATAGCTTTACGTGAAAAGAAAGCACAAACCCACATCCAACCAATGTTTTCTTCAAACCACTTGCTAGATACCGTAAACCTTCTCAAACTTCTAGGACAATAGTACCTTGGTTTAGCCAGCAGGAACCAGAACCCATCATGCTCTATTCATATCTGAACGGGGGGGGGGGGGGGGGGGGCGGAGGAGGACGGGACTTTTCTTTCGACCCGAATAGTAAAAAAAATGTTTCTTTTGGCACCTTTTTTGTGTGTTTGTTTTGGATAATAGATTGACCTTAGTATTCTAGTGTGGACTTTGCATTATGAAAAAAAAATTCTCTGGGTAGGAACATAAATCAACATGGCCTCCATGCACATAAGCCTCCCTCCCCCACCCCCCCCCCACCCCCATTGAAGTACAGAAAACAAAACAAAAAGTCACAGACAGTGCTATTGTAAAACACAGATTTATTTCCCACAATTCAATTGGCCATTATTCTCACTCTCGACACAACAGACGAAAGGCCAGAGATCAACATGTGGAATTCTCCCCCGACCCCCCCCCCCCCGACCCCCACCAAAAAAAAAACCAACAAACAGTTGCAACTAAAAGCTTTTGTTTTAGCTTCACGCTGACCTTTCACCTTGCCATACTTTATCACGTGACCCCGGGGTTTTTGTTTATTAGGTAAATTAACGGTTACACAATTCCCTTCTCGTCTCGTCCACACCTTCGCTGAAGTTACAGCATTAATAATTTCCCCCATAAAGCACCACTTCATCCCCCCTCCCCAAACACATAAAGCAACACTTCACCTACCCCCCCCCCCCCCCCCCCCAGTACAGTGACATAAGCAGGAGAAAAAAATACATTTTACGACAACTAAAACAATACGCCTGTGTAAAAAAGCTGCATATATTAACTGTATATCAACTTCTTTTTTTTAAAACTTATATTGCCATAGATGTATGGACTGTGCATTTATTATTTAACAGGAAAGGTGGGTTTTATGCTTTGTTTATTGTATAGCGTTATTATGGGTAGGGTAAGGACAGCAAATTTATGACTCTGACTTTTGTGTTGTTCTTGTATTCCCAAAATGTGACGTGATCTCTAACCAGAAAGTCAAGTTCGAATCCGGGTTCAAGTACCTGAGTCCACCAAGCTCTGATGGGTATCTGACTAACGTTAGGGAAAGTAAAGCTGGCTGGACATGGTGCTGACCACACTATTTCTACATATCCCGAGGTCACATAAACAAGTGACGTCACTTGCCGCAATGGACCGCCAGGTTTGAAAGGGAACTAAACACCAAACTTAAGATAAAATTCACACCGTTGAAAAATTAACCTAGACCAATGTAAATCTGTGGATACTTTTCTCAGCATGCCCCAAAACATCGTGTATTCTTGTGTCTGGGGTTGTTTGAGTGGAATTTAATGATATTTGTGTACAAATGTAGATAGGTTTGTGTAGGCAATCTGGATATTTTGCTGAAAGCTTTTGTTGGTGTTTTTGTTGTACACTTCGGTGGATATGTTTGTAAAGACATTTTTGTAGTTGCGTTTATTGAGGTCATTTTTTTTTAGATGAATGTGTGCAGTAGTGGAGTCTTATGAAAAAGAGTCTAGGACATTACCCCAAAATCTGTCGATTCCCCCCCCCCCCCCTCCAAACATGATGAAGAACCCTGACTCTAACCCAAACCCCAAAACTATAGCTAACCCTAATCCAAACTGTAGACCTACACCCAACCCTAACACTAGCCCTAAATCTAACCCATGCCCTAACTAGGCGGGGGGGGGGGGGGGGGGAAGTAATTGCTGCAAGGGGGGAGAGGTGTTCGGAGGGTAATTGACGAGGGGGGTGGGATAATGTCCTGCTCCTATGAAAATATGTTTATGTACTTGCTAAGACATTTGTACATGTGTTCATGTACACATACATGGACACGTTAAGGAAGACATTCACGAATGTCTGCCTACACGTCTATATAACAAAAACAACAACCCACAGTACTCACAGAGAGCGTTTCATCCACGTTGTAGTTGGCCACATTGTAGCCAGACTTTTTCTTCCAGATGCTCTCGTGGATGGTCTTGTTGATGTCCGCCCTCACTGTCTCCTCGATGCTTTTGTTCAGATCAGCGCTCACAAAGAAACATTCTAGAGTGAAAAGCAAATGGTGGGGTTGGGGCGGGGGGGGGGGGGGAATGACGTGACAGCGATAATTATTAAACGATAAATGATGTTATACACTGTATACTTAAAAATATATTGCAATCATGTTTTAGTGTATATATATATATATATTATATATATATATATATATATATATATATTATATATAATAGATGATAGCCAGACATATAGACAGACAGACAGACAGACTGACTGATAGACTGATAGACTGATAGACTGATAGATAGATAGATAGATAGATAGATAGATAGATAGATAGATAGATAGATAGATAGATAGATAGATAGATAGATAGATAGATAGATAGATAGATAGATAGATAGATAGATAGATAGATAGATAGATAGATAGATAGATAGATAGATAGATAGATAGATAGATAGATAGATAGATAGATAGATAGATAGATAGATAGATAGATAGATAGATAGATAGATAGATAGATAGATAGATAGATAGATAGATAGATAGATAGATAGATAGATAGATAGATAGATAGATAGATAGATAGATAGATAGATAGATAGATAGATAGATAGATAGATAGATAGATAGATAGATAGATAGATAGATAGATAGATAGATAGAGATATATGTATTTAGACCTTTCGGGAGTAGAGAATAGGTAAATCTGAACAAGGGAGCTTGTTTTTAAGGGTATTATATTTATGAGATTCATTATTATATGTCCCTCAGGACATTAAATATCATGCCCATTAGAATACTAAATTATCTCACAGAATGCTACAATGTTGCATTATCTAAGTTTTTTAGGATAGCACACCCAATTAGGAAACAAAATAAACTTAACTCTCGACAATACACCTACGTAACTTTATACAGCTGAATACAAATTTTAACTGAACAATCCAGGAAAATCACATGAGTCGAGCTTTTATCCGGGCGTCACAATGTGATCAGACACCGGTAACAACGCGCTAGAGAAAATAATTTCAGCCATTCAATAAAAACAAAAAACTATTATACCAAAACCTTTCAAGTGGCTTGGGAAAAAAAAAACCCGGCATGACATATCTTTATACAAGTGTAGGACATCGGAAATATTGTATCAGCGGGGAATTATCTTTCAGGGGCGAACGTTTTCAATGCACACATCAAATGGGTAAGCTTGGGGGGGGGGGGGGGGGGGGTCGGGGGTAAGCTGGGGGTTGTCTGGACAAAACACGATACAATCTGCACTGTGTTTACTAGTCCACCCACCTAACCTGTCTCCAGTTAAACCTCTACCACCCACCTAACCTGTCTACAGTTAACCCTCTACCACCCACCTAACCTATCTCCAGTTAAACCTCTACCACCCACCTAACCTGTCTCCAGTTAAACCTCTACCACCCACCTAACCTGTCTACAGTTAACCCTCTGTCGCCCACCTAACCTGTCTCCAGTTAAACCTCTACCACCCACCTAACCTGTCTACAGTTAACCCTCTACCACCCACCTAACCTGTCTCCAGTTAAACCTCTACCACCCACCTAACCTGTCTCCAGTTAAACCTCTACCACCCACCTAACCTGTCTCCAGTTAAACCTCTACCACCCACCTAACCTGTCTACAGTTAACCCTCTACCACCCACCTAACCTGTCTACAGTTAACCCTCTAACCACCCCACCCACCTGTCTACAGTTTAACCCTCTACCACCCACCTAACCTGTCTACAGTTAACTCTCTACCACCCACCTGTCTACAGTTAACCCTTACAACCCAGCTAACCTGTCTACAGTTAACCCTCTACCACCCACCTAACCTGTCTACCACCCACCTAACCTGTCTACAGTTAACCCTCTACCACCCACCTAACCTGTCTACAGTTAACTCTCTCCACCCCACCTAACCTGTCTACAGTTAACCCTCTACCACCCACCTAACCTGTCTACAGTTAACCCTCTGTCACCCACCTAACCTGTCTACAGTTAACCCATTACCACACACCTAACCTGTCTCCAGTTAACCCTCTACCACCCACCTAACCTGTCTACAGTTAACCCTCTACCACCCACCTAACCTGTCTACAGTTAACCCTCTGTCACCCACCTAACCTGTCTACAGTTAACCCTCTGTCACCCACCTAACCTGTCTACAGTTAACCCATTACCACACACCTAACCTGTCTCCAGTTAACCCTCTACCACCCACCTAACCTGTCTACAGTTAACCCTCTACCACCCACCTAACCTGTCTACAGTTAACCCTCTACCACCCACCTAACCTGTCTACAGTTAAACCTCTACCACCCACCTAACCTGTCTACAGTTACCCTCTGTCACCCACCTAACCTGTCTACAGTTAACCCTCTGTCACCCACCTAACCTGTCTACAGTTAACCCATTACCACACACCTAACCTGTCTCCAGTTAACCCTCTACCACCCACCTAACCTGTCTACAGTTAACCCTCTGTCACCCACCTAACCTGTCTACAGTTAAACCTCTACCACCCACCTAACCTGTCTACAGTTAACCCTCTGTCACCCACCTAACCTGTCTACAGTTAACCCTCTACCACCCAGGATAAAAGCAAGTCACGGGAACTCCCCACTATCTCCGCCGCTAATGCCCCAACGCATTCCGGTGCACCAAAGAATGATGCATCGTTGGGCAATGTGTGTACTGTTTCGTCTTCACCAGTGGTTCTCAATCTTGGAAAGGTGGAGGGAGCCTAAATTAAGTTCTTTTTAACCAGCCCCTCTCCCCCAACTTTAAATAACACATCTAAAACGCTATCCATATTATAGTACAGAGCAAATATTCTTCTACCAATTAAACGACATCATACGAGGTGAAAATTTTAAAGTATACCGTACAGTGGCTTCAAGTTGACAGCAATGATAACGTGGGCCGAAAGAAAATCAGCGTAAGTGTCAAGCTGTTGTAAAGTGAGAGGGGAGATTTTTCTCCGCCTCACTATACATAATATGAGAGCAGGACATTACCCCTCTCCCCGGCAGTAACCAGAACAATTACCCCCCCCCCCCCCCCCGTCCAGTTATGGATAAGTTAGGGTTATGGTCAGGTTTAGATGTATGTTTAGAGTTGGGATTAGGATTGAGGTTGCAGTTAGGGTTAGATATAGCTTTGGGGTTTGGGTTAGGGTTAATGTAGGGGGATTATTAACGGGGGGGGGTAGTGTCCTAAACCCATACAATATAAGGGGTGAGCTAGATCCGAGAGAGAGAGAGAGAGAGAGAGGGAGAGAGAGAGAGACCGAAAAGCTTACTAGATCAGTTGCGTGAAAGCTACGTGCATGTTTTATAACGCCTATTTGGTTGTTCGCGTGTCTCGAAGCTCGGGCGACATTTACTACACCACGTTGAGAACCGTTCCAGACGGAGCGTACAATTTCGATCCTTTGATCCTTGCTGCAAATACCGAAAGAGCTGTCGAATGTTGTTTCATTATTTAACTTGGTATCTCTTTTTTTTTTAACTTCCTCGAATTTCAATGAACTTCTAGTTATGTTTCGCCAAACTAAATCCCCCCTCCCCCTAACCCTTTTCCTCCCCGGAAATTAGGTACACATCCTCGTTTAGGATTGTAATTAGTCAACAGTTTTCTAGACTCCGTGTCTCCTAAGTGTGACTAAATGCGACCTCTTGTTTTGATGATTATGACGAAGTGTTTCAAATTTTACTTTGTAAAAATCCCCCCCCCCCCCCACATTTCCAAGTTTCCTGCCAGCTATTGTGTATACAGTGGATTTTACGGTTTTAGATCCTAGGTGGTCGACGGCAAAGTTAATCGACAGGAAGTGACCTAGTTTAACACTTAACCAAGACAACTTGGTTTTTTTTTAGTGTGGGTCCCTCAGTAGGGTGTGATACAGGCGACCACCCAGCTTTGATGTGCCTCCAACAAAGCGATGTGTAGCTGTCTACTGTGCTCTACGTCATCGATTTCTACGCACCCTCATCCTGTCTTCATCGGGAAATCCCGCTTTAAATGCTGACATTGTTGTTTGACTTTGTATGTAAATCCATTCAGGAAAGAAAAAAAAAGGTTTAAAACGATAAGCCTAACGCCGACAACGACACACTTGTAATTTAAACTCCCGGTAATTCTTAAACCTTAACCATCAACCTGTAACAGATATGACATGAATTATCAATTAATCTACGACAGACTTGAACTAAATCCAGTTTTTAATTAAAGCTGTTGTGTTCTGCGCTAACCGTGACGAACAACCAGATCGCAATTATGATTTTCTCGCTGGTAACTTACTTTTTTTTCTTCTTATATAACATTTACCAGCCGTTAAAATACTGATACGGGTTAAAGTAGCGATACTAGCAATCGTTAAAAAGTACAAAATAAATTATAAAATATTATTTAACCCAAATCGAGTAAATTATATATAAAACACCTAGCTAGCGTTACCATAGCAGCTTTTGTCTAAACTAAAAACTATGTTGAGAATTAATTACAGTAATATCAGAAAGTTAATTACAGGTACGGCAAACGATAAAGAACACCTTCCGAGGTTCGGCCGAAATAACTGGTACACACACCCACACCTGTTTGAGACCCGCGGGTCTAGACTGTTTCGGTCAGATGGTCGCGCGATTAAAATGTAAACAAAACAGATAAAAAGAAACCCGGCGTTGAGCGCGCTGAGCGCTTGAAATCTGATAAAGTGAAGGAAACTTTATGGACGCGGTTACCCACGTTGATGCAGGGATCAAACGGGCTTTGATTAGTCAATTAGACTGCTCGGAACGCGGTGACGTTTCAACAGAGTCAGTCAGTTAAATCACATTAAATAACTGACTTGAAAAAAAAATTACTTTTTTTTTAATTGTTCGGAAGAATATAGACCGAGTTTATGTCTTGAAGTGAGGAAATCATGTTACACCCCCCACCCCTACTTCACAGTGAGAGGGGGTGGGGGGAGGGGTGGGCTGGATAATAAAGCACTCCTATATAGGCTACAGGTATTGAGAAAAAAATAC